GGCCCGAAGAGAATTTATCGAAAGTATACGTATGCTCGCCAACTGCCCTTTTCTTTTTGTTAGATTTTGGTTAATAGAAAATGTCTAATAACGGAAAAGCTCAAAATTTTAGTTTGTAAATCCTGTCGATTTTGGGAGGCTGCTAATAAATAATGGCTCTGGCAATGGAGTATTTCCTTTATGGGATGTTAAATGCGATTGCTCATTCTTAAAGCTGGAACACAGGACTACTACTACGCGCGAAGTACACTGTTGATGGAAAACCAAGCCAGTTTTGCCAAATTCAGAATCAAGGCTCTGAAAAATGTTCAAAGATTACCAAGTGAGACTCTCCAAAACCAGTTAAAACATAACAAAAAAGTCCTCTGAAAACTTCCCAACTCGGACATGATCTCCGCAGAAATTAGAAACCTATTTTCTACATATCATTAGTAACATAATAAACTATCGCCATATACTTATAGTGCAATTATAAAGTGTTGCGCTCAAGTAAAAAAGGTCCCAGGTTCGAATCCCGCGTGATCCACGACTGGGATTGGGTAGGACTGGCTGATGACAGCTAACAAGCCAGAAATGGCTATTCCGGTGACCCTTGTCTTTGTCGGTCCCCCTTCATAGAATTATGTTTATCAATAATCTGTGGTGAACTTTTTTCGTACTTTTTATAAAATAGGCGCTAAAAAACTTTAATGCGAATTAAGATTTTTCGAAGCAGTATGTACTTTCAGGTAACCCTATGTGCAGTTATAATTAACAAATCGAGATGCTTTACAATTGACCCGTCAGCGTTTACTACTCATCTGCTTGCTAAGGAAACATTCGCTTTAGATCAACCCCTTCACTTCGATGTAGTAGACAATAATAGGTGTAAGTCCAATTACGAGAAAGAATGCAATTTAGTTGCAACTCTATCAAATAAAATATCAAATTAGCCGTCACAAAAGAACTTACATGGCTTTCCCTGGCCCCCATGCCTGAAAATAAAGGAAAAAAGAGAAAAAATTAGAGGGGACTCACTTGCACCAGTGAATTTTCTCACAATAAAACAAACCCACCTCCCGGCGAAGAATATGAAATAGTTAGAGACAAATTAAGCGGAAGAAAGGATCATGAATCGTAAAACGACATTCACGAAGTATCGATTCATTTAAAGTTTGTGATGCTCAAGGCTACTGGTAAAGTCGGTGAACAGAGCTTGTAGAATTTAAAACTCCGTATAATAAAAGGTAAAATGAATCAATCTTCTAAAGACTTCATAGCAGGGAGATAATGCATTCATTCAGATATTAATGAGCTGTTTGCAGTAAACGAACCCCAAAATTAGCCGAAAATTTACGTCCATACTGAATAGCCAACTTAATCAAGTGCTAGCTTCAATATCGTCATGGTTTTTGGATATACATGTGCAAAACATACACTTGCGCAACCTTTGCTCATGTTTGTAACGAATATCCCCTGTTTTATGTCTCTTAGTTATCGACACTGCCTAATACAAATGTACCAATGTGTCAAGTTGGCGTACCCTGAGTTAGATTTTATGCTACGAATTTCACTTGAATATTCCGAATGGTGTTTATCTTTGTGCCTTTTCAGCATTACAATTATTGAAAATGATTTCCTTAGAATGAAACCTCAACAGGTAAAGCAGATTTTAGCAAGATTTAGCAGATTTTAGCAGATTTAAAGCAAACTGATAAAATTATTTGGAAAGATTAATTTTAGTTAAGAAAAAGGAACGAAGAGTAATGTTCCCCTAGGGCTGAGTTTGAATTTCAGTACTGATTCACACAGTATAAAAATGTTACAAAAATGCAAAAATTTTCGGGATCGATAAGCGACGTGCTCAATACTAATCAGTGTCTTTTCATTACAGGCATTTTTTTACTTAAGAGTATATAACTTTAGCCATAAAAAAATATGGTAGTCCTTAGTGAAAATTTCAGTAAGGATGGGTTTTATGGCCGCCTAAACAAGAAACGAGAAAAGGAATCGCTGACAATACTTGACACTAAATTCCAGAGAAAATGGTATTATGATTGACGTGCGGGCCAGGATTAAGTTTAAGATTGAACGAAAGGTGGAAGTAAAAGCTAGAGCTGAGGTTCTCATCAGGATTATCTTAAAGAAGTGGATATGCGAGTTCCAGGAAGCAGTTCAGAAGAAGACGATGCGAGTACTGGAACAAGAATTTTATGTTCATGACGTTTCGGATGCCGTCGAGAATCCTTAATCATAGGTTATGGTGGGGTGGTCTGAGCTATGCGCAGATAGGAGTGATACACGCACCGATTGCGCGGTATTATTGGGTTCTTAGCGGTCATTAGCATGCGTGCTATAGTTATCAGCTCCTGTAGCCACCACTTGGGGTCGTATTTGGTGCGATGATGGCTTGACACTTCGCGTTCGACTCATTAATCGCCGCGATTTCCTTGACCGTGCCGGATGCGGGCTTGATAATGGTGCAGCAATGATGCTCGTTGTCGTCAGAGTTGTTGCTGGGTCCGGTCCTCCCCACGTGACTGATTCTCTTGCTCAGGCAATGTCTCAGTACGCAGTATGGTAACGCCAAATCGTTGCGCTTGTTGATAGACTGTGTGCCTAAGAACCATGACCCGAGCAGCTCACGGCTCACGCGGTTGTCACCTCTTGCGAGGAGTTCGGCCTCGTGAAAGTGCCTTGCAATGAACCTTAGTCAATGTTAACACAAGACAAGTAATATTATTTCATTAAAGTTGTCCAATCATGTTAGGAAATGACCTTCGGTTCATAATGGACAGAGAACCTTCTGTCGTAGATAGTTTTCGCTGATTATTTACGGGACACACTCATCTCTGACTGCG